GTCCGAAGGTGGCAAACCTATGCATCTCTCTAGATGGATCCCTCGCTGGCATGGGCGATGAGTTGGCCGCTCGTCGCCAAGCCTGGACTGAAATGCGTAAAAAGAAAGGACAGCTAATAATTGCAGATCTAGAGATAAATCGAATAAGAGTAGGAGGTATGATAGAAAGCGGGTCTACACGCAGTTATATTAGTAAAAGAGGTTTGCAGAAACTGCGTCTTGGGCTTAAGGTTAAGAAATTAAATGAGCCCATTGTAAGTAAGTTGGCGAATAGTAGTGAAACTGTCATGGATCGATACGTCGAGGGAATACAAGTATACTTTCGGCTAGAGGCAGAGGGGAAGGTGGAACGCATTCTTCACTCTCTGACCTTCTTGGTGGAGGATAACTTGCCCTTTGATGTGTTGTTCGGAATGGATTGGGGTGAGGCTGCACATGCGGATCTAAAGTTAAGGGAACATGAATGTTGGCTTCCAAGTCCGCAAGGAGGTAAGAAAAAGATTCGCCTCTACCACGAATCAGGAAAAGAAAGCAGCCTAGCTCACTGTTCTATGAGTGCCCCAGCGTTCGCTCGCCATGTTAAGAAACATAACTTGTATGACCAAGTCTTTGTTGCATATGTGGGCCCAGTAAAGGAAGGAGAAACAAAGGAAGAGGTCAGGTCCCAAGAGATTGAGAGGATCCTGAAAGAGTTTGTAGATGTGGCTGAAGCCCCAAGCGGTGTGGTGGAAAGACCAATCCGCCACCACATTGATATCATTCCAGGGAGCGCGCCTCCGAAGGAGCCTATCTATCGTATGTCGCCCCAGGAATTGGATGAACTGCGAACCCACTCGATGAGTTATTGAAAAATGGTTGGATAAGACCTAGCTCCTCACCCTGTGGTGCGCCTGTGCTCTTTGTGCCTAAAAAGGATGGCGGCGTTCGCATGTGTATAGATTATAGAAGATTAAATGGCATAACCATAAAGAATGCTGAACCATTACCGCGAATAGACGATTTGCTGGATCACGTGCAGGGAAGCAAAGTATTCTCAAAGATTGATCTAAAATCCGGCTACCATCAGATTGAGGTTGAGCCGGAAGACCAACATAAGACTACCTTCAGGACAAGGTATGGGCATTATGAGTTCGTAGTTTTGCCCTTTGGTCTCACAAATGCCCCTGCCACTTTCCAAAGAACGATGAACGAACTCTTTCGTGAATGGCTCGAYAAATTTGTTGTGATTTATYTAGACGATATTTTGATTTTCAGCAAAAATGAAAAGGAGCATGYTGAGCACCTTCGACTTGTGCTAAATAAATTGAGAGAAGCAAAACTCAAGTTAAACCCAAAGAAGTGTGAATGGGCTAAGCGTCAGGTGCTATACCTAGGACATGTGATCGATGGAGATGGGGTCAAACCGGAAGATGCCAAGATAGCAGCAATCAGAGATTGGCCGAACCCCCGCACCTTGACTGAGTTGCGGTCATTCCTTTGGTTAGCCAACTACTATCGAAAGTTTGTGAGACACTTTACGATAATAGCTGCTCCCCTTCGCTGATTGCTTAAGAAAGAAGTAATTTGGAAGTGGGATTCAGACTGCACTATGTCCTTCAAGCATCTGAAAAAGTGTTTGATTAATTATCCGGTTCTTAAAGTGGCGGACCCTTCCTTACCTTTCGTGGTCACGACCGACGCTAGTCAATATGGTATAGGTGTTGTACTTCAGCAAGATGATGGGCATGGGTACAAACCTGTAGAGTTTATGTCTTGCCACTTACCTAACGAGAAGGTGGCCGCTTCAACGTATGAACGAGAGTTGTATGCTCTGCGCGAGGCTCTCAATCATTGGCGACACTACCTTCTAGGGAGGCATTTTAAAGTATACTCTTGACCATGAAACACTTCGCTGGCTCAAAACACAAGCTCGAATGACACCTAAGCTAACAAGGTGGGCTGCAGAGATTGATATGTTTGACTTTGAGCTGAAGCCAGTAAAGGGTAAGTATAACGTTGTTGCCGATGCACTAAGTCGTAGATCAGACTTTTTCGGTGCTATTGTGACTTATTTAGATGTGGGTGCTGACCTACAAGAAAAGATTAGGACTGCGTATCCCTCTGATCCTGTTTGTGGGGCCATGATTAAGCTAGTGCAAGAAAAGTCAGCAGAGTTTCCCGATCATAAAGTAACTCAGGGTCTATTGTTTGAACGAACTGATGTACATGATAGGCTGTGTATACCCAATAATGAAGAGATCAAGAGTATGATCTTGGGGGAATGCCATGATACAGAAGGTCATTTCGGGTGGAAGAAGACCTATGGGACTTTATTGCGTTCCTACACCTGGCCTCGAATGAAAGCAGACTGTATCGCGTATGTGCAGGGTTGCCAAGTGTGCCAACGAAACAAAAGCACCACGCAATCGCCCCTCGGGCTACTTAAGCCCTTGCCTATCCCTACCGGCCCTGGAGACTCTATCTCTATAGATTTCATGGATACTAAGGTGAAGAGCAGAAATGGGAAAACGCAAGTAATGGTCATAGTGGATAGATTCACTAAGTATGTTGTTTTTGTAGCTTTGCCTGCGGAAGCAAAGACTGAATTGGTTATTCGGGAATTCTTTAACCATTGGGTAAAAGACTTTGGACATCCCTTAACTATTGTGAGTGACAGAGATACCAGGTTCACGAGTGAACAATGGCAGCAACTGATGAATGTTTATGGCTCTAAGTTGACCATGTCATCAGGCAGACATCCTGAGACTAATGGCCAGACTGAGCAGATCAACAAGATTTTGCAGCAAACTTTACGCATGTACATCCGCCCCGATCAGATTGACTGGGATGAACATCTGCCTAAAGTTGCCAGTGCCTATAATAACTMTGTACATYTRTCWACATGTAAGACTCCTATGGAGTTACATCTGGGATGGCGTCCACGCAGACCCATTGATCGGTTGAACCCGGATCAAGTACATAAGCTTCCTATAGGGACTAGTGAATTTGCAGTCCAATATCAGAAAGACATTGAGAAAGTAAAGGAAAATATATTCAAAGCACAACATCAGATGATTGAACAGGCAAATAAGCATAGACGCCTGTCTCAATTTGCTGTAGGAGATTTAGTTTGGGTGGAGTCTAAAGAGTTTGCTCCTGAAGAGAACATCTCTCCAAAGCTTCTACCCACCTACAGAGGACCTTGGCAAGTTTTAGATGTGATCGGAGATGTGGATGGTCCTTCGTATGTCATTGAGATTCCTCCTCATCTACGTACATATCCAGTGTTCCATGCGTCCAAGCTCTTACCTTGTGTAACGAATGAGCTCTTCCCAAGTCGCCGATCAGCGATACCTCCAAGTATGGATGGGAAGTATGACGTGGATAAAATTGTTGCAAAAAGTACTTACCACACTGGACGTAGAGGCAGGCCACAGCGACAGTATAAGGTGAGGTTTGCATACCAGGATCCTAGTGAGGATCGCTGGTTTACAAGGGAAGAACTGTTAGATTCTGCACCTCATATTGTGTCTGCATGCGAAAGCGCAAGGAGAGGGGTTCATATCCTTGATAGGTGAATGATTCTCAGAGGACTTCGAAACTAGGCCGGCGAGAGTAAAAGGCCTTTACCCGATGTAGGCCTCAGGCCTTGTAAAAGTAAAGCAACACGGGCCTTGTAAAAGTAAAGCATTGTGAAAAGGTATCTCCCCAGGGCTCAGAAACTTGAAAGCAGGTTAAAGGTCAAGTTCTCTATCAACAGGCACATCTAAATCTAAGGCAAAGGGCATTGTCAAAAGACTTACCTGTTCACCAGGAGATGTGTATGTCATGTCTGTTCAGGTAAGAATGTGTCTGTACGTGCAGGCAGTGTACCTGTTCGTGCAAAGGAAAGTGTCTGTTCAAGCAGTAAATGTGTCTGTTCATTGAGAGTTGTGCCTGTCCAAAAGTAAAGTCAATAGGCACAGTCCCAGTTCTGGTCTAAGTCAAGGG